CAACAAAAGGCCTCTGATATTTCTTCTTCTCCCAAACTTGGAAAAGAATGGAAGAATTTAGGCCAAATTGGTCTCAGCCTGGAAATCTCCAAGTAGATGACCGCAATGTCATAACACACCACCATATCATTTTCCTCATGCATATAACAAGTAACAACACCATCTCATTCCTTAAGATTGAAATGTTAGAATTATGAGGACCAAAACACATACCAGTTGTGATTGTTCGGAACCGCTCTTGTCCAGCTGTATCCCAAATTTGGAGCTTAATCCGTTTACCATCAAGCTCAATGGTTCTTATCTTAAAATCAATACTGCACATAGAAGAATCACATTGTGGAAGTCAGGAAATTTCATCTAGATACAAATAAAATAGACAGAGAGGCTCCATTTGAAAAATACACACCCAATGGTGGTAATAAAACTGGTTGTGAAGGAACCATCTGAGAACCGTAAAAGAAGGCAACTCTTACCCACACCTACATGTGTAAACAACAGAAACAATTAGAGTCCTCCTAGCAAGCTTCAAATGCCTATCAAAGTTATCAAGGCATTTAAATCTCAAAGGAAAAAAACCATCATTTTCATGAGAAAGAAAATTATTTGGTGCTAAATCTAGAAGCTAATTAAAATTTTATGAAATCATCAAAACATCAACTTCAAATAACCAAAAATCATTGAAATTAAAGTACATAGAGCTAACTGCTACTCCTACCTAACCGTATTTAGCAAAACCAAAAGACAACCATTTTAACCAATAAACGCTCCCAAATTGGGCTTCTTCAAACATTCCTTGACTCTCAAAACCTAAAAATAAAAGTCCAAAAGAAATTCATCCAAATTTCATAGAAACGAAATCGAGAGTCACGGAATACATTATAATGTGAACTAAATCTACTTGCATGGCTAATTGTTTCCAGCCAAAAGTATGGAAAATAAATCTCGGCGTGAGTATTAAGACCGGGGAAAATTGAAGATCTATTTGGTTATGAGGAAAACGAGAGAGAGAAGCAAGAGAACTGGTTTCAGAGATCAACGTACCGCTATCGCCAATCAATAGAAGCTTTATGAGGTAATCATAATCAGCTCTAGCTCTTGCAGGAGGAGCAGCCATGGACAAATTTCACCAGACAAAGAAAACCTCTCAAATCTGCGCACACACACAAGAAAAAATTGAACAAAAAAGTCAGAATCGACAGCTCACATATCCACACTCGAATCCACGTCATTACATAAAAAAAATTAACGAGAACATAATAAAAAGATACCGGATCGGAGACTGAACATCAGATAGGAGAGGTCTCCAAAAAGTCAAATCTTTAAGGCCATGGCAATTATAATTTGAATTTCTTATCTGTTTGGCTGGTTGATTATAGTTATTTCTTCTATTTTCTTTTTCTAATTTTAAATGAAGAAAAAAAGGAAAAAACAAAGGAGAAATTATAACCTACAAAATCGAGCTTCTCCGTGGAAGATGGGGTTGCTAAAATGCGCAGTGTCCGCTTTCTCTACCCTTTTTCCCCCTTTTTTCCGTTCGCACTTTTTTTTTCTGGTGCGCCGCTCAATCCCCGCGCACGCTAGCAAATCCACCGGTAGCAACGGACAGATAGAAAAAAGAGAATGACTTTCTCTTTCCTAAGCTTCTCTTTTGATGATTTCCTCTGCTCCTCCTCTCTCTCTTTGCAAAAGAGCATTGAATAAAAAAAATTCAAGTTTTTACTCTAACCAACCAAATCCAAACGCGTGGCAAATGCGTTTGACATTCTGGCAATTACCACGTGGCTCATCTCGATTGATATTGTACTACTGGTGTGGGCCATAGAGAATACGGAGCTGGGGTGAGCTGGCATCCTAATCACCACTAGGCATTGAGTTAACAACTGGCAAGTTGGGGACGATTTGGGGTTAGAGCAAAAGATCTAGTGTTTCATTACATAACAAAAGAACTCGTACTTAGCTAAATCACAGAAGGATCAGACGGTCAGGAAATTCAGGCCGATCTACAAACTGGTTACCGCTTTGTCAATGGACGTGGGAACCAATTCAAGCTGTCCAAGCAACTATAATCAGTTGGGTTGGGTTTCTAAAACTAGAACATGGGTTGGTTACTAAAAAGAAAAATACTTCTATATGTTAGACGGTTGGACCAGTTCCTACCCATCTCTGTCTGCCTTCTTTGTTAAGGAAAAACAATAACTTGTCGTTAACATCGTCTATATTCTTTTTATTTGTCTCGAATTTTTCCTATGGAGTTATCTTTGTAATCTAAAACATATATAATTTCATAATATAACATTTTTTATTAAAATTTCAAATTCGATATATTAAGATTTTTTTCTTCTTTTAATACATATTATTTTTTT